AAAACAAAAAAGAAAACTGGTTCTCATGTAACATCGCTTGTTTGCAGATTTCTTTACATTAGCAAACAATACAAGGAAAAGCATTAGCTACATTAGCAAACATGTTTAAAGGAAAAGCAGTGAAATTATATATTTCTTATTGCATTTTAACATTTGCATGATGTCAGCAAAATTTTCTTACCACATTTTTCCGCATGGGTAATGTTATGGAACTGATTAAAAATATTAAAATTCCAAAGATTCGATCTGATGTCAAGCATTACTATGTAATTAGTACATGTGCTACATTTATTTCTTTTTTCCTCCATCTAAAATTTGTTCACGGAAAAAGTACAAAATAGCTACATGATAATCCGCTTATGACGTGGGGAAAGTTTGATTGCAAACTAGCAATTTCTGGCTTCAAGGTCTAAACTTTTGCTTTATAAGCACAAGACTCTCTCACCACACAATAGGACAGAGACATATTCTTTGGCTGCACAACGTTCAAATCTTAAATGATTTAATTTCAGTCATATGTTAATGAAACTAAAAGGTGAGTGGATTATTACTTTGAAGATTAAAAAGAATTCACTAAAGATTTTATATTTATCTTAATTTTTTGTTGGTTTTTATACTTCTAGTCAGCTGATGATGGATCTGAAATTGTGGCTCTCAATTCTGATGGTTTGTGGTAAGTTTAATCTTAAAATGACAATTCATGGAATATCATCATTCTATCATTGTCTACTTGCTAAGAAAGTATTCTTGTGTTTGTGCTTTTATTACAGGAATGGCTGAATCTCAAATCTTGGGCAAGGACTGGCTCATAAATGTGCCATCAAGAATCCCTGTTCTTGAAAGCTCATGTGTGGTCATTCCCTGTGTATACTCGTGTCCCAAGAAAAGAAAAACATTTAACAGATTTCGGGCATTCTGGTACAGAGGGCACACGATCGTCGCATCAAATTTCCCCGAGTTGAGACTAACGCGCGAGTTCCACCATCGAACCAGAATGGCAGGAAGCATTGAAAGTGGCAACTGTACCTGGCAGCTGTATTTCGTCAGAAAAACCGACACTGGTCCGTTTTACTTCAGAATTGAAATTCCATTTCTTAATAGCTACTCCTACTTAAAAAATAAGGTGACCCTCGATATCTTCCGTGAGTATATTAGAGACCTTTTCAGTATTTCTAAACCATTTACTTTAACATAGTAAAACGTGTTTAAATAACTATTTAACAAGTGATTTTGTGAAAATTGTTGATTGTACAGAAGTTCCTAAGCGTCCCGTGATGACTATAGACGTCCGTAATAAAGTGACTGCCACCTGCAAAGTTACTCACGTCTGTCCAACATCTCCTCCCCACATCTCCTGGAGCCGCGCAGGAACGTGGACAACAATGTCAAAACAGGAGAATAAATGGTTGTGGTCAACAACATCGACCATGACCTTCATCCCTCGAGTAGCCGATTTTAACAAGCGTTTAGAATGTAAGGTGACATTCCATGGCAGGAAGACCACAAAGGGCTCTGTGCTTGTCTTCAAGAAGAGGAAACAAAATATTGGAGTACTAAATTAAAGCAATATTTTAGAGCTGTCTGCCATAATGACAGTGATTTTGCAGAAAAAGGCCTGAATTAGCAAATCTGCAAAGAAAAAAAACATTTAGAGACAAGAAATTCTTATTGTTGTATGCTTTGATTCATATCACCTTCTGAGTTTAACTTTACCTAAATTGTTTGAACATGTGTTAGAGGCACAAAAGTTAGGAGTCTTTTTTAACCTTTAATGGTTTTCTAATAGGATTTATGGAATAATCTTGTTTTGCTGGTTTCTTTCTTTTACTCTTCATCAACTGTATGATGATACACTATTAAATGTACGTCTTACTTCAAAGTCTACAAGTTTTCCTTTTGTTTTCTATTAAATATTTCATCGAAGTGCTAAGATTATAACATTTGTGTATTTTTTATCTCTTAAATTTTGTCTCAATTATCTGGAGTGTTGGACTGTTGTGGCTCCAGCCTCCCATTTATGGTGAATAGAGAGCATAATATATTTTATTTAGCACTTAAAATAGACCACAAAGAACCTTCATCAACAGACAAACTGCACAAATAGCGACAGAAGTAATAGTGTTATGCAATTTAAATCTACATTGAATGATTCAATGGGTAAATTTTGCTGCCAAGCTAAATATTTTTACAAGTGGGAGATTCCCTAACAAAGGAAATGTAGATAAAATATTTATGGAAACATGAACTTTTCTCTACTAATCAGAATATGATAGTCTTTCCTCTTTCAAAGATTGAGATAATGACCTGATGCATTATATTTAAGTAGCTTGTCAACTGCACTGACGAGAAGAAAAGAGGGGAAGTAGAATAAATGTTACTTTGCTGTTATTTTTGGCATTTTTCATGCTTTTGAATAACATAGCATATCACAGTTATGCATTGCTAACTTTTAAATGGTAATCTTCATCTTTGCATCCTTTG